CCTTTCGTTTGCTTGTATGCCAATTTTCATAATAACAGAATATGAATTAAAATAGTTAAGACAAAAACTAACATGATAATATTATTTTGAAATGGCTGCCCTGTAAAGTTTACTATTTGTCAGATCCGTCACTATTCTACGACTATGACGATATTATGTTTATCTTTAGTATTACGTCTCCGGAGTATAATTTTCGAACCTTTTTACATAAACAAGTACATTGCCTTGAAGAGATATTCTCAAGAGCATATGTAGTTCAGGTTCACCAGGAAATGACATTTGGGCGAGTGTGCTACAGAGCAATTATGATACAGAGTTCACGAGTGTCTATTTTACTATTTAAAAATTGATTTGCATTCGACATAGATCTATCTATGGTTCCTATCCGTGTGTCGGTAGCAAAAGCCTCCGTTTTTTCATTTTCACGATTTTCTTGACGTAGCTGTGGTGACATCTGTTAGTAGAGGGAAATCAGGAGTAGCGCACGGCATGCATCTTACTTTAAAAGAAAACGTATTGAAGTACAGATGAATTGGACTGTTTTAAAAATATCTATTTGTAGTTTCTTCTAAATAATAGATTTTAATAGACGAAAAATATGAATAATGGTTTAAAATTGAATTTGCATTCAAAACCCACTATTAATGGGTTTCAACCAGGGTTTCCCACTTTTACTAACAAACTATCCGTGACTGAAAATATATTATTTTCATATTTAAATAAGCTTATTTTCCATTTCCAATAATTTAGTTCCGAAATTAGATATACTATTTTTATATATAATTTCTTGATAATTACTCTATTACCAGCAATGCAGGGTGGGGCGGCGAATATTTGCTCTAGGTCTACTGGTCGGCGGTTTCGATATTTGACCTTGTAAGAGCTAATACTATGACTGATTTTTAATTAACTGTTACCGGATACATGCAGTGGGAAAATTTGCAAGAAATGATACAGCATTTAGTTTAACTTTAGGAGTTTCGTAGGACAATGGCGTAGTAGCATAAGCGTGCGACTCTCATCCTTGAGGTCGTACCTTCGATTCCCGGCTGTGCACCAATGAACATTCTGCCTATGTACGCATTTAACATTCGCTCGAACGGTGAAGGAAAACATCGTGAGGAAACCGGCTTGAAAAAAGTCGACGGCGTGTGTCAGACACAGGAGGCTGATCACCTACTCGCCTATTGATTGACGAATGATGATGCAACAGATACAGAAATCTGAGGCCCAGACCTAAAAAGGTTGTAGCGCCGCTGGTTTTTTTTTTATTTGTACTTTCTTAAGGATGTCAATTGTATACACTCTTTAACTATATAATAATCTCCTATATGACACTAAGTAAATGCGTAATAAAAGTGTTTTTTTTAATAAAGGCATATAAACATTATTCAATATCAATAATACAGTGACACATATAAGAACGCACACACTGACACTGCTATATAGCACTTTAATATTCCTTTTACATATGCTACGTAAATAAATAAATAAAATAAAAGGACATCTGATTACTGAAGTGAACCAATATAGCGGTTAATGTCTTTATTTGTTATTGTACTTACGAAACAAATATTATTTCGCGGTAAAATGAACCCTAATCATCGAGGTTGTACCAGTGAAAGCCTTATTTAAGCTTTCTAATGCCACTGCAATCTAATCTGTGCATCATTAAATTCAGAGATACCTACAGCCTTCTGAAAGAATATAAATGAATCAGTATGTCAAGCTTCTGACAATGATGACGATGACGCAAACCGCGCTGTCTGACATATTAGGTAAGTACAACTTATCTTCTTTTTAAAGTTATACTTCTTTAGGCACGTTATGAAAAATTGATGAGAGTGAAATTTTACGATGCGCACGCACCGTGACACAAAATTAACAGAATGAAGTTGCCCACGGAAGATGCTACGGCATTGGACATAATTTAAAAACAACATTCGAATAATAATAGAATTGATGTTACACATATTATGTAAGACAATAATAATAAATATTTATTTATTTAATTTTTCAAATGTAAACTGAACTTTATTGACTATAATGACTCCTTTTCCAGTCTATGATTATTTAATTGTAATTAATTATTTGCTCATTATCAAAAACTATTTTTAATAATGCCAAAGAAGTATAACTTCTAAGTACACGCACCCTTTTTTCATAATAAATGCGTTTTTGTAGACGCTTTGGCACATTTTGAAAGACAATAGAGAAATTAATAAATTAAGTAATTAAGGAGATAATCCCAACGTGTGCAATTTCAATATAATTCTTAGTACGAGTTCGAGGTACAATTCACATTGAACTCTGCCTAATATTGCTCCCTTGGCGTTGCGAAGAGATGTAGGGTCTCTCTGTCTCTTCTACCGCCTTTACCACGGAGAGTGTTCAGAGGAGTTGTTCGGACTAATACCTGCAGCAGAGTTTTTTGATAGAAATTATTTATCCTTATAAAATGTCTTTAAAATAGAATATTTATTTATGGCAACTGACGGGATTTCTCACTATCAACAGATTTCGTAATCCGAGGAGAATGGTTTCGAATTTGTTCGGATATTACATTTAAAAGTTCGCAATGTTAAGCGGAAGCAAGAAATAGTCTTTTTTGCCAAATAGTGGCTAAATTTCCGTTACTGATTATATCATCCATATAACTGATATGATTTCATAACATACTCGCTGTCCTTGGTTGATTGACATTTTGTGATCTCGTTTTGGGTAATAAACAGAATTACGTACACTCATTAAAATTTTAATAACTCTTGCTCTAATAATAATAATAAGCAAGGATTTTTAATTGTTTTAAGTTTTTAAAAATATTTTTAGAAATAAAGTATAAATCTTAATTTTTTCGGATCATTCTAACTTAAATTATATTGTGTATGATGGTGTGAAGTGAGATTAGTACAGTGCGTGAATGCTCATGCACATCCCCCACATCCCACACACCATCACGAGATGCAGGTCATTAAGCGCTATGGATATTTTTAATATTCCGTTTAAACATATTCCGCGACAGCTTAAACAATGGTCGTTTTAAGTCCGGGCTGCGCGATACAAAACTGAGTTTTTTTGCATAGTTGGGGTTTATATGAGGAACGTGAAACAAAGCACGATTACGAGTCTGGTAGGCAGGAACGTGGAAGTGCATTTTTTTTGAAGTGATCCGCAATTAATTTTATCTGAGATAATGTCATGTAGAACCATTATATCGTATTGTTTTCGTCGAAATTCTAAAGTATCAACTTTAAAATGTTCACGTCGTAAGTATTAAACTTAAACAATGAATTTTATGAATCTTTTGAATTTTGTCTGCGTTTTTTTTTTGTTTTATAGAACAGGGGGCAAACGAGCAGGATTCTCACCCGATGTTAAGTGACACCACCGCCCATAGACACTCTCAATGCCAGAGGGTCGTAAGTGCGTTGCCGGCTTTTTATAGTGTACTGTGTAACTGGGTGACCAAACCGAGAATGCTCCTATTTCACCATGCCTCCTACTGATAGAGGACAAATCTTTGTTTTTAATTTATTTTATTATTATTTATTTCTTAAGATGTCAGCTGGAACATAGCCGTGTTGGTTGCAATTCCGTGGGACGTTGTGTAAAACAAAAAAACTTGGCAATTAAAAAGAGTGGCGGAGAGTTTATTGCCAGTTCTTCTCTTCCCAGCCAGTTGCCAGTGCCAGTTCTACGCCCTTAATTTGAGAACTGGCAGTAAATGTAAAATTAGAAGCATATACATTAAATTTCTTTTATGACGTTTATAAGTGTACATCGTGTTACCTATATGAATAAATGATTTTTGACTTTGACTTTGACACGTCTTACAAAACCAATCGGCTTATAGGCTTTGTCAACTATTGTGTCATATACGTCCTGCAATAAACTTTATCTTTTATATTGTTACAATTTGTCAAGATGCCTTACTATTTAGTATTCCTCTTATTTTAATTCTTCTTTGATAAACTAAAAAATATTGAGAAAATATTAACAAGAAAAAGTACACAGTATTACATAAGTTTTTATTAAACATTCGTAGCCCCTTCACGATTCCGAATGCAAACAGAATTCCATTCGAATATTAACTTTCTTAACCATAATATGGTACATGGTATAAAATTATAAAACTTATGGCGATTCCTATTTTACATCTTGTAAAATATAATCGAAGTTATATTAAAAATAGTATCCAACTTAATTGCGTTAAGGTATCACTATTATTTATTTTTAATTTTACTTTATAGTTCTGACGCGTGCGTACTTTATATGGAATTCAGTAAAATTAAATAAAAATAAATGTGGGAAATTAACGCCTTTTGATCCGAGAATATACAAAATAACACGTTGTACTTGTTTAATATACAATATGGTGACAAATCTGGATAAAACATATTGATATATAATGATATTTATGTACAGATTAATTTAAATAGAACTTACCCAATTTAAATTGCTTAAACTGACTAGTTAACTAACATCTAAACATATGGAAATATTTTGTCAACAACTTTTCATTTAGTAAATAGATATTTACGTATATATATAATATATATAGCGCAGTACGAGAGAGAAGAGAATAGAACAATTTATACTTGTATGTTATGTATTACAACTTATTGCCACAATATCGCAGTAAAAAGGTTATAATAAAGGATTTGTTCTTGCGCAAGTTATAATAAATAAAAACAGTAAAATTAATTATTTTATAATTTACCCTCACCTCTCAACTTCTCTGAATGGCTTTAAATGTTTTAAGGGTCAGATTATGATGTACAAAATTTAATGATATTCATTATTTGTCTCTTTTCCTTAGCATACAATTAAACAATGTATAATTGTATGATTTTCTTTTCTTAAAGCGCAGATATAGTATACCTTAAGTTATATACTTTAAGTGAAGCAACTTATTGTTCTTAGTACATAAATCTGCTAACATATTTTATGTACTATAAACGACAGAAGTCTTGACTTAAATCTCCATAGTAATTAAAAGCTTAACCAGTGTAGTTAATAGAGTATGACCCAGTACTGGGGTCAAAGTTTTGAGCTGGATGTCCGGAGAATGGGTTGAAGTTCTGGTTCTGTAAGTCCTGGCTTTGGTAGTTCTGGTAAGGTTGTGGGGTGTATGCCTGATAGGAGAATTGGGGTTGCTGGTGATAGACCTGGCTTTGTGGAAAGGTTTGCGGCGACTGCACATCAAGCTTCGTTTGCTGGGAGAAGAGGTTTGAACGTTGAGGTGCAGATTGGAACTGGAAGTTGGGTTGGTAATTCTGTTGCTGGTACTGAGGCTGTTGAAAGTCCTGCTGTTGTTGGTAAGTTTGTGGCTGTTGGTAAGTCTGTGGCTGTTGGTAAGTCTGTGGCTGTTGGTATGTCTGTGGCTGTTGGTAAGTCTGTGGTTGCGGTTGCTCTACTGATTTCTGGTATTGCCTGAAGGAAGCTGGTCGGTTTTGTGTTCGGCCGTTGTATTTGGGGTCTTCGTATATTTTTGGGTCCTCACGGTACTGGCCATCGTCTTCTTGGCCGTCGGTTAAGGCGTTGTGGCTTGACGGATCGTTAAGTGTTGGTGGTGGAACCATTATGCCCGTGCCTGAAATATACGAAAATTATAACATTAGTATTAAAGCATTGTTGAATGTACCTTGCGTGAGTTGGTACTGTGCAAGAAATTATGTAAAATTATTTCGAAAGAAGAACATTAACTTAGTTAATATTTGACTTTGTAACATAGTTACCTCACACAATGAGATTTCATAATTGACGTTGTCTTTATACCAAAAGTATTATATAACAAGGTGCAATGAAATTTATTTTTATTTTAATAGTAATAATAAACTGTTAATTTGCAAAGACATACATAGACACATATTCAGATTGCTTAATTATAAAAACTCACAATCATATTAAAATAGGCATGGAAATTTCATATTGATAATGTCATAATAATAATAACAGTTAAGATATTTATAGTTGTCAAAACTAATGATAAAAACAGAATCACCTTTCCCTTGAAAGCATTACTGTAACTTCTGGGAAGGTGATTAAATAGTTTGATAGTCATGGCGTAACAATTTATCAAACACATCGTGGTCCTACACCCATAGATGTGTTGAAACCCTCATCAACGTTTTATCGAAGACTTAATTAATATTTTAGAAAATTTAGTGTTTTATATCTAAGGTATTTATTAAGGGTCTATCGTTTTTTACATTATATTGTTCAAGACTTGCGAAGTCAGTACACTGACCTTCAGCCTTAGAAGAGGAGACTCCACCTGTAAAGTTGGACCAATGTATTCTGCCCCACAGCGATCATGTAAATATCTTGGCTTACACATGGATCGTGGATTAACGTGGAGCACCACATCAAATGTAAAAGCAGGAGCTCAGCTAAAGTACAACAGCCTTTACTGGATGCTAGGAAGAAACTCAAGACTTTCTCTAGATCAAATTCTTATATATAAAGTCATCCTAAAGCCCATTTGGACATATGGCCTCAACTGTGGGCAGCCAATATCCAACATAAATATACTCAGCGACAACAGAACAAGATCCTAACGTGCAAAGTACCATGGTACATAACCAAGAAGTTCACAAACCTTAAATGAACTACAAAAGGAAATCCGGAGACTGGCGCTAAATACAAGAGCGGTTAAGCTGTCACCCGATTAACTGCTCGCCAATTCACATTAGACAGTATGTGAGTCGACTAAAACGTCACCATATTCTAGACTAAAGACGGCAGTAGCTCTAGCCAGAAGATGAGTAGATGCTTCCAATGGGAAGTCACTCCACATGCACACCACAAAAATTCGCTCATAGCCTTGGGGCTGATTGCAAATAACCGCAGAAAAAAAAAATATTGTTCAACGTCTAATTAAAAAATATATTGTTACTTTTTTAATATCTAGTAACGCTCACCTTCTGGTTCAAATCCTCTCTGACTGCTAGCTCCATATGACACTTCTCTAGTTTTGCCGGTTTCATCCACATATCCATATTTCCCTGCAACATCTCCATTCGGGTACTTCGTTTCAATCTTGAAAGACCCATCTGCTGCTTCATAACCAAAGCTGTAGGAGCCATCATCATTCTGCCTGTTTATCTGCTTTAAGATAGGAACAGGAGTCGTGGTTGGCCCTTGTTGTGATGACGCGCAGGCGCATACAGCAGCGAATAGTAGTGTCTGGAATTTTATTGAATTGGTTGAGTTTTAATAGATTACTGAGTGATTGAGTGTGTCGTGGTGTGTTAGCAAGTGGCCCATAATGTACACAGCCGGGTGCGGGACTTAGACTCTAAAATTTAGAAAGTAATACACAGAAGGCTAAACCTACTTGTCAAAGAAAAATATGAATAAAGATGTTGATTAACTTTATTAATATATTTTGTCAGTTGTTACAAAAACGTTACACTTGTCTCTGTTAAGTTAAGTACATCAAACATTATTCAGTCATGAGTTTAAAAGTAAACATCCAACTGCGTTACAATGAGTATTACAATTACTTAATATGTTAACTTTAATTCTTTTAAATCAATGAAGATTATCTTAACTTAATGCTATTAATTAATACGAATAATGAGTGTTCCAGTAATGATAAACACAATTAATGTATAAATTATACAGTTAACTTATATTACTGTTATAAAACAAAGTTGTAATTTCATTAAATTAAATAAAATTTTATTTAATTTTTCATGAGTCAATTTATGTTTATTGGACATAACTAATAGTGTACGAATCGGTCTTAATCACGATACTATGTTGTAGGTAACATAACCTATAACAGAACCTATAATATTATTATACCTTACGTATTGGAAATCACTTTAAAGACACGCAAACTACGCAAAACGGAACTGGTCAGTGAATGTTGTGACCTTGAACGTGGAAAGATTAATCTTGAGATAGTTTTATTTTTTGTAATTGCGGAAGTGACTCAGTGTGATCTTTAAAGATTAATTTGCTAATTAACTCTTTAAGATACTATTTATCGCGCGAGGTTTTTCATATTTGTGCCTTTTAATGTTCAATCTATCAGATATAATAGTAGGTTTTCGTGTATGACAATTTTACGTTTTGTTTGAAAAATCAGTTAGAAACAATTTAATTTAACATTGTACAATGAGTTGTTATATTTAGTTTTGAACGTTGAGATATTGGACATGAAGTGTGATGCAATGTAGTAAAAATCAAACTATTTGTAAAATAGGTACATAAACATAATTTAAAGCAGCTTTTAACTTCTCCGCAGCCTTTCGTGGGATACGTTTTGTTAAGATTATGACCTTTTCAACAATTAAGACTATTAAACTATTACAATATATTTAAACTTTCCCTAGGCATCACACACAATAGATGAAAATCGTGCAAATGTCAGCCCCCCTGGCTATTGATTAATACCACTGTATGCAATTTATTGTAGGAATAAAATATAGTCTATATTAACCATTTCACTATTCAAATAAAAAACTACTGCAGTTGGCTTTATACTATTTAAATATCCTTTAATTTAGAGAGCCCTCATTACTTAAAACTATTACGTTTGTAAAATATCTACAATCTACATTATATCTTACATATAAAATTCTCGTGCCATACCCCTCCGAAACGGCTGGACCGATTCTTATAATTTTTTTTATGCATATTCAGTAAGTCTGAGAATCAACTACTATATATCTGTCAAATCCCTAAATACACCTGATACAGCATACAAAAATACATACAACCCTTAATTTTTACTCCTCTAAAATCAACCCCTATTTCTTATTATTTTAGTTATTTTAATGTTCTAAAAAAATGTTTCCTAGAAATAATATAAATAGCAAAACAAACATTTGCCGGGTCAGCTAGTTAGTACTATAAAGATTCGAGATTTCTGGAGGAAATTAACTTTTATTTCGTATTAAATTGCGCGTATTTCCCTTATGACGCATTACGACATAAAAGCTCAGAAGGCAATGTTTATACAAAGAACCTGTACAAGGGAGCTGACAAGACGGCCTTGTTATATTCAATCACTTGCAAAACAGTCTACATCAGTGTTTGAATAATTATATATGGAATGTGATCTAAAAAACCGCCTCAAGCGACTCTTGAAGCGTTATAGTTAGGGACATACGACAAGTTATATACATTGCATGTTAATCTCGAAGAGTTACTAGCTGTTACTAATAGGTCAAAAACTATGGCAAATTGAATTTGTACCACAAGCCCTGATATGCTGAGTTTATTTCCCGAGCGAATGTTATTGTTTCCGGTTTTTAGGTAGAATGTCAACAAAAAGCTTTAAAAAGTATATAGAATACAAATTTTATTGCATGTTTCTTTACTAAGACATCATGGAATATTATGAGCCTAACTTAAGACTAATAAGTAATTTAAGTCTAACCTAATTTATTAAAAAGGATATTTAACATAAGAAAGTGTCCAATAACACTACTTACAGTCTCTATTAAAGGGAAGACACTCTGTTCTTTTTTTACTTATCACTCAACTAACGTGCACTAACAAGATGTTACCATGGTTAAAAATAAATGCAGTAGAGTTAGTAGTTATTACTATAAAAATTCTAATACGGCCGTTAAACTACTACAACTAGGCGTTTGTTATATTATCTAAATGACTACTTGTATAAATAACGACTCGTATTAATATAGGGAGAAGAGTATAAACCATAATCAGACCTTGCTCATATATCTGCTATATTTCTGTATATGTTAAATACAGTTAAATGTCGTGTAAATTTAGTTAAAAGTGTATTTAACGGACTAACCAAATGTGTGTAAAAAGATTTACCACAACTTTTCATCTTTAACACTCAATTTAGTTAAAATGTTATTGAGTTTATATTTCGATAAATCTGAAATATTGCAAAAACGCCTGAGCCTTGTCAAGAAATTTTAATTATCTATGACAAAAAGCACTGTGCGTAGGTTGTATAATTTCAAACTTCTATTAATATAATGTCAGATATTTTCATGTCGCTAGCCGTGACATAGTTCGCATCAGTTGTCAGATATAGTACCACCAACTGAAGGAAGCTTTTATCGTTTATTAATTACCTAAATTTGGTAGTAACGGCAATTATTTATTTATTGTATTTACATAACCGCGCCTTTTTTATGAAGGGTAGACAGAGACCATGGATCTCCACTTGCTACGGCCTGACATACCTCTCTTGCTTTATATATAAACATATATAACTATATTACTACTTTAATTACATTGAACATGCATGCTCATCGGTTAAGGGTACTTTTAACTTGTCGCCTCTATTGTTTTTTTTTTAATATTACCGTTGTGATATTTTCCACATTAAAATAATACCATCCTAAAGATTCGTATTGTATTGATTGTTGTATACATAATAAAAAATATATGATATATATTCTATAAATTAGTTCGCATCGAATTAGTAATGTCTAAATACATCATTTAATTTATTTCATAAACAACAGATGGCGTTGTGAAAGTTAAAACGCGATGACATAAGGACGTCCTAGAAACTGTGTAGGATTTAATGTTTAAGTAGAGTTCCTGCCCTTCAGGCGATTGACCACCCCGCGACGGCCCAAGCCGAGGTTCGAGTCTCACAGGAGACGCCCTTGCGCTAGTCGTGGGATAGCCCGTTCAGGCCGAGCTACGCTCGCCAAAACATCGCGAGCTGAGCTGAAAAGGCCCTTTAGGCCATCAGCGAGATTCCATTCAAAATAAAAAGTTTATATTGAGTTTTTAAGTAAAAGTATGTAATATAAGTATTAAGTCTCTCTATAGTAAATAATAAGAAAGTTTATATAGTGTGTGGTGTGTCATTCCGTTGCAAGGTTGCTTCCGTTCAAGCAAACTTACCCAAAGACATACCATAAATGGGATCTTACATAGTAGCTTATTGAAATTCCACTAACAATCGATTACAATTCAAAATGTATCAATTAGCATGCTACATAGAGAAGTTTGGGCAACGCCGGGCGCTTGGCCTAGTTACATTTCACAATTACTATGCCTGCTGTGGAATTCCAAATTGTTACGCTCAAGGTCGTACCGATTTTCACGTAATGTAAGTAATTAGTGTCTGGCGAGTCTTTGGGCTTGAAAATGAGTTGCTGTACTAAATAGGTTTAATTTAGATTAACTACGAACTCATATATAGTGTAGTGTGGACTCAGTATCCGCACTAACACGCCCATTTGGTCCATTGTGCGTTAATAATAATTATTCTACGGACAATTATTTAGTTAGACAAGTGAAATATAATACGAGTAACATAGTAAAGTCTTTTTATTGAAGACAAAAGCTTGTACATATTTCTAAACTAGCTAAATTATATATGTTATACGGTCGAACATAGCTAAGTTATTGCAATGTTCTCTTGAATCTAGTCGTAATTAGAACTAAAAGTAAAATAATGTCATTAAATATCACTGACAAACTGAAGGTCCTACAACTATTGTGGACATTGTTAACTTAAAGCGTCTCCCTTTAAGTTAATAATGTCCCTTTTTAAGAAAGGGGAGATTTCGACACTCCTCTGCTGCTTAGCCACTCGATCACATATCTGCCTGATTGCGCACCTGATAGGCTAGGATAGCTTCTTGCCCTTGACTTGAGAAGTGGTAGTAAATGTAAATTTAACTTGTTTTTTGACGTTCATATGTGTACTTGTGTACTATCAATAAAGATATTTTGAGTTTGAGTTTGAATTTGATGTAGCCTGTTTAAAAAAAACTATTGTGAAAATTTGTACATAACAGAACCTTAATACAATCTTTATAGGTATATATTTAATCCTGGCGCGCGTTTATGTCTTTTATATGAATAGTTTAAATTCCAATCGTATCGATAATAAGGTCAATACTTCAACTATTTATTAGTAACTATGTCAATTGGTAAGAAATTCCATAAAATTAAGCTTAGTCAACATGATTGCTTCCTAGCCAGCCTAGATCGAACTGGTCAATTATTTAGGTCTCATTGCATAAGACCACGCCTACACTAAGCATTCCTATATTCACAGGCGTTTGAATAATTGTATAATTAAAAACACTACACTATTATGTAAGGAGTTAGACAACATATGTATAGCAGATTTTTTAGGTATAACTGACCAGTGTTGATTTATTTATGAATAGAGGAAAGTGTCTATAACTACTATTTATGTATCACAATATCTGTTATATTTCCTAGATAATCACTGCACTCATTGACACAATGATAATAAATTAATTATTTTCTCCTTATAACATTTGAAAAAAACTATACGAATAACCAGTAAACTTTATAGTCAAGAAAGTATTGGGGGACTGGTTTCCAAGCTAGGTAAGAACCTATAGAATAAAGTTGAGTGTGTGTGTGTGTGTGTGTGTGTGTGTGTGTGTGTGTGTGTGTGTATAGCATGTTATATCACATCAGAGATCTTAATTTATCTTTACTTTTAATGTTCGCGAGTTATAAAGAAAACTTAAATACTTATGATTTTATTAATCCATATTGTTAAAAAAGGTTGCTTATTGATAACAGTTTTAGCAAATATATCCTATTACGTCCCACATATTCACCCAAGTCATTGGCAATTATTGTTATAACGAACTTTAAACGTAGTCACTAGGCACCATCATGTTAGTTTGGTATTAAAAATATGAAAGGAAGCCTAGTATATTTCATTATACCAAGCCCATTCAACGTAAATAATTTGTGAATATAAATTGTTATTGGCATGTTTCTAGAGCAACAAAAGTTCACGTCCTTAAGATCTTTTTGCGATATAAATTAGAACGGAAATATTTAGTTTTATATACAAACGGAAATTGTATAGTATTTTTGTTATCTAGACTGATAATCATTACATATTATTAAATGAAGAAGCTGCGCATTATTGTCTGAACGCGATAAATTTAATACGGAACGGAATTTAGCAAAATTTTACGTAAATTGACTAAAATATTCTTTATTTTTTATTAATTTATTATTGCTTAATATATATAAAAAATTTAATCAGTGACGCTACAACCTCTTTAGTTTTGGGCCTCAGACTTCTGAATCTGTTTTATGATTCTTTTTTAAATCTAATAGGCAAGTAGGTGATCAGCCTCCTGTCCCTGACACACGCCGTCGACTTTTTGGGTCTAAGACATGTCGGTGTCATCACAATGTTTTCCTTCACCGTTCGAGCGAATGTTAAATGCGCACATAGAAAGAAAGTCCATTGGTGCACAGCCGGGGATCGAACCTACGACCTCAGGGATGAGAGTCGCACGCTGAAGCCACTAGGCCAACACTGCTCAATATAATTTATATACATAAACTAAAAATACAGAAAGCATTAAACAACTACTTGCTTTAAACTTGGTGCCTGAACAAAACCACAGTACAAATTTAAATTCCTAATAAACTAAAACATTACAACAAACAGAGAGAAAAATAAAACAATAATGTAGAAGCTAGTACATAAATATATATGTGCATTTTTGTTAGCAAATTAAACTAAAAGTGCATGGAGACATTCTTCAAATGCTACGCAGGCTACGAAATTATATTGTTTTGCTATTTGTCACGGTATCTGTTGCGTTCGCTTTATATCTTTCGTAAATCTTTTGTAGTGAAATGTTTTTGAAATATGTACACGTCACGTACGTTATTTAAAAAATCTACGGAGTCTTTAAGTTACAGCCTGTATACCAACATAAATTATAATAACAATGTGTTAATTTTAAAAAGTTTAATATAATTAATTTAAAATCTAAACAATTAAAATTCTAAATTTTTAAATTTAGAATTCACGTTTTTAATGGTAGATAAAACAAAACAAAACTGACCTTCAAAACGAACATGGCGGCAGATTTTCCGAATGCAAACGTCAAAATTTCCCGGTCTCGGCGCTGTCTATGGCGTCTACTCACACACTCAGGCGCGGCTGGCCGTAACTTGTATTTATAATGTCGCTGTTTTCGTTACAACAGGCTTCTGATATTGTTATGCGGTCTATGAAGCCCTTGCGTGGTTTTGTAATAGATCCCTCATTGGTGTTTGATTGTTAATGTCAAATGAAATATCAATTATTCGGTGACATAATCCGATTAATGAAGGTTAAATATTAATTTTTTTTAATCTCTCTGGTTCTGTCGTATCTAAAGATTTGCAAATAAAATATCTAATAATTTTTTATCTGAGTGAATCATAAATTAGTAGTAAAGTATTGGCTAGCTAAAACAAGCCATCCTGACTCTATAGTCTATACTTAGGTGGGCTGAAACCTTCATAGGCTGTGTCGTAGTTACACTAACATGAAAGTATTGATATATTTTACAACAATTTTCCAACTTATCGCAACTTTGTTTATCATGCTCTTAATGAGGTTCAAGTTTGTATTTAGTTTTAGTTATTATTTTTTTTTTAGATATTATTTATTTATTTTTTGTTTTATTTATTTACTTATGTTCTAATATAATTGATGTTTATGGGTATTTTACCATATTTAATTTGTTTTTATTTTGTGAAAGTTTCTTCTTACTTGATGAGTGATTATATTTAGTACTGCGTAATGCATATTATTTCAAGTTTTAGTAAGTAACTAATATGTTAGACTTATCATCCTTTAGAATGCTAGTTTTATTTATATTGTTTACTGTAATAACTAATATAATTATAATATCGAATTACGTATAAAAAGTATTTTTATATATTTAACAAGAAGTTATTTTTTTACGATTTCCCTTTCTAAATAACAAGCAACATGTGCAAAAATAATGTAACACATTATTTTTAATATTTACTTTGAAATCAGAAAATTTGACATTTAGATTATATTGCTTT